ACATGCTTTATAGCTGCGCACTTTATTAGCTACCTCTATCGAGAATTTTCACAGAGGAAAAACTTGGGCGTCTCGTCGAACGGAAACTACTCACCAAGATTCAGCCTGTTATTAATCAATGAAAAAAACAGGCGGTGGCTCCTGGACTATTATGCAGTACGGCTGCAATTGTTTACAAATTATGCGCGTTACCTGCGGGTGCTAGATACTCTCAATTTAACTGAATTATACTTACACAAATATTTTTTGTGTACATTTATTGTTTATTTATTTTATAAAACGGAACATTTTGCTTCTGAAACGGAAATGAAGTCAATTTTTTTACTTTTAAATGTTTCGATTATTTCACGAACGTTGTATGAGAATAATAAGCACGTTATAATTAATAAAAAAAAAATGTAAAGTTACGAGCTAGTGCGAAATATTTATACACGTTAAGGGCAGTTTCTTAGCCATGTCCTTTCACGAGTTTGATTTCCAGTTGGAGCAGGCGATTTTACAAAAACCTGTGAATGCAGTTCTAGTAGTCATTAAAAATAAAATGCCATTTTTCAATAAAATATCCTATCTTCAATGCCTATATCTGTATAAGCGCGATCGACGCTGCGCAGCGGACAGTTGAGTTTCAACAGCGATTTTGGAACGAATACAAAGGCGATCAAAGTGTAAGTATAATGTTCAAGTGCGATTATTTATATACTTGTATAGTGAGGAGCTCGATGGTGCAAGTGGTTAGCGCGTTCGGCTGCGATCGTTGAAATTAAGCAACTTTCGCAGTGGTCGGTCATTGGATGGGTGACCAAAAATTATTATCTCGAGCTCCTCCGTGCTTCGGAAGGCACGTTAAGCCGTTAGTCCAGGCTGCATCTGCAGTCGTTAGCATCCACCAATCCGCACTGGGCCCGCGTGGTGGGTCATGGCTCAATCTCCCTATTCCATACATAGGGAAGGCCTATGCCCTAGCAGTGGGGACATTAATAGGCTGATGGTGATGATGATAGTGAAGTACAGTGTTTAGTGAATGTATTGTGATTAACATGCGAGTTAACTGTGCGGTGAATAAAGTACTGTCAAGCGTGAACTGGCATATAATTTCGAACCCCATCCCGACACGTAACAGTATGTTTACATATGTATCAGTATACGTATTCTATCCGTTACCTTAGTATCTCATAACACAAGCCTACAGTGCTTATTTTAGGGCTAGGCTAATTCGTGTGAGTGTTGGAAATATTTATGGAAATAAACTTCATGAGTTATCTCATATTGAAGTCTTTTTTCAATTTGACGACTCTGTATACAGGGTGTAAAAAAACCTTTAACGAAGCCGAAGGCCACGTATTTTCCACATCATGACGATCATTTTTTTCTTCTGGACCATACCTGGGAAATTTATAGTTAGGGAGATATTGGAGGTCAAAGTCACAATTTTTTTTTCAAGAATTTTACATTAATATTTTCTAAACGTTATTTAGAAACTTTTTTCCTGAGGAACATAATTTTTTTTTTTAGTATTTCTTCCATAATAAGGCTTTTGTCTTTACAACGAGAAATGTACAGCAACGCATGCACACGCACCGACGCGCTGTGCCCCGCGCCCGCGCCCCTCGCCCGCGCTCGTATCAGCTGCCACGTAGGTCAACAACCGAACGTGCCTAGTCAACACCGGGGTTTAATCCAACCACTTATTAAAACGAAATGCGTAAATTAGTCATTTACCCCTTATTAGGTTTGCTTAAAAAACATTTAATTAAAATGAAAGTTACACTAGCCATATTTTTTTTTTAAACTCAAGTAGATTCCCAAATTTTTTATTGTTTATGTAACAAACTAAACCATGCTTCTGGCTTTTATTTTCCATACTTAACGGTTAACATTGCCATAATCATCAAAAAAAAATGTTAATAATAACAGGAAGGTTTTTTTTACACGAGGCGCAACGAATTACCACACCCCACCTGATGTTCAGTGTAAGTGGAGTCCAATCGCGAAGAAAGATGATGCGGCAGAAAGTGTTCGCTCTAGCCATCCTCACCTTGCCGGCCTGAACGCAATCCTCTACCCCGCAAAGCCCTGGAACCTTACTCACCAACAGAAATACAACACCACCAAAAGGTGGAGATTGCTTCACCAGACGGGCGCTCCATTTCAAGCGGAAAATCCGCTGTGCCCTACCTCTCTTAAAATACCTTACCTACGGAGGAATGAGCTATGTTTCATTAAAAAGTTAAAGTACCATCTAAACAGGTGACAAAATGATATTTTAAAACAGGCTCGTCATTCCTTACATTCCGTCCTCTCTACCGCAAAAAAAATTTAACGTCTTTTCGATAGTAATTAAAATGAAACTAAGATACTTACCAAATCTAAAACGCCTTACAATTTAACACTAGCAATGTTGATTGTTTAGTGTTAATTTTTGCACTTTCGCTTAGGATTTTTTTTTCGTGGACGTCAGGACATACTGACGTCCAATACAATTGTAAACTCGATTGATTCCAGTAAATAAACAAAGTTCCATATCTTTTAGCAATCAATTACTTAATTAGATTCTGCCGTTTTTTTTCTAGCTCTGTAAGTTCTTTCCGGTTGACTGGTAGAGAATGCCATATTGGCATTAAGTCCGCCATTTGCAGTGTAAAGGCAATACAGATTAAATAAATAAATAAATTACAGCCATTATTCATACTTTACTTGGATTTTAAATAAAAGTAACTTTATTATCCCATAAACGTGTTAAGTATTGTTGTTTTTAACGATTGTACCAATTCGAATTATTTTGGAAGCTTGCTATGAATCGATACTAATACAAGAACATTAATCGTTTTTAATTCGGAAGGATCCGTAGTCAACGAAGATTAAACGAATGAATGTTTACTCCCGGTTTTACATTCCCATTTTTTTATAGTACCTACCTGTACTAAATTAAATTCTAGTTTTGTAATGTTTTAAAAAATACGTAAATTATTTATGGAAAATGATAAAAAACGCTACCGATGCGTAACACAATGTCCGTTATGTAGGTAATTATCTACGTATTATCTAATTGTTAATTGGTCAGTAGGTATAACCTAGGCAATGCAACGCCGGCCGGCCGGCGCGGCGGCGTCGGCGGTGAACTGAAAGAAGAAGATGGCACTATCGTCTCTTTTTATCTCTACCGAGCCCGCGCCCGCGCCGCTCTCCAGTTCGGTTTCTTAGGTCATCGAATGCGCTTTTCAAATTGCAAATTTGCGATTTTTATTGTTATCTCGTGCGATTTCAATTAAGTGATAATTTGTGAACGTGAAAGTGTGTGTGTGTTAGAAGATACCTAACCAAACGTATACTGCTCGTGAGTACGTAAACATGGTTCTCTGTTACGGGAGAGCACGTGGAAACTCTTCCGAAGCTCTGCGGCTGTATCGGGCTGAATATCCCACGGCGAATCACCCGGGTGATGCACGTATTTTTGTTCGGGCTGTACAACGTTTGCTGGACAATCAGCCGATAGTGCCAGTTTCGGAGGGCGGGCGCGGGCAAATACGACCTGCGGCGGAACAAGCCATTTTAGACGTAATGAGGGAAAACCCACGTTTAGGCGTTCGAACGGCAGCTAGACTTTTGCGTAGAAGGCATGGCCATCGCGGTCGACATGTAGTGTCCCATACCACCGTGCATAAAGTCTTAAGAAGGGACAGGCAGAGGCCGTATAAAATCCACCGCGTGCAAGCACTGGTACCAGGCGACGCCCAGCGCCGCATGGCTTATTGTCAGTGGCTGTTGAGACAAGATCGAGGTTTTGTTCGACACATCATTTTCACTGATGAAAGCACATTCACTAATAATGGCATGTGGAACCGTCGAAATGCTCATTACTGGTCTGCAGAAAATCCCAACCAGACTCAAGAAACGGGCTTCCAGGCGCGGTGGAAACACAACGTATGGGCAGGCATTGTGGGGAACCGGATCCTCGGTCCCGTTTTTTTGCCGCCTAGAGTGGACGGGGCCGCCTATTTAAATTTAATTGACACCGATTTGTCGGAGGCCTTAGACGACATGCCGCTGGCCGAGTTGCGGGAGACTTGGTACCAGCACGACGGTGCACCGCCTCACATCGTAAGACCAGTTCGGCAGCGGCTGACGGAGCTGTTCGGAGACCACTGGATCGGCAGAAATGGGCCGCACGCGTGGCCAGCGCGTTCGCCTGATTTGACGCCTTTGGATTTTTTCCTGTGGGGTTTCGTCAAAGACCGTGTTTTTGACCGCCCCTGTCAGACTAGTGATCAAATGCGTCAAAAAATTATTGACGTATTTGAAGAACTGAAATATCGGTCTGTACGGGAAGGAATACTGGAGCGCGTCCATCAAAATACGCTGTACCGGGCACGCGTTTGCTTACATGTGGAAGGTCGCCAGTTCGAGCCACAACTTATCCGGTTCGAGCGGCCGATTCCAGACGAGGTCGAGTAGTCGGTAAGTAGTAAAAGTACTTACGTAGCTCTAAATCTAAACAAATTCCATAAGGGCTGTTTTTAAATGTAGGAACTTTGGAAGTAAATAATCAAGTAATTTTGTGTACATAATACTCCCGCTAGGTAGTGGAGAAGCGCGTTCTATCGACGCACTTACACACACGCACACACTTACACACAGGCACATTATTTGCGTAGCGCCACAGTAGCGCGGCGCGCTATACATTGCGTACTGGAAAAAAAATTATATATTTTTAACTTAAAAATAAAAATGATTTCCCACGTATAATATTTTGTAATATTACTTGTTTGGGTGTACAGAATGCGTAGTTTTAGTTTTTGTCATTGGTTCTTTTACACCCTGTATAATATAGGGAGAAAAAAACAGCCCTTGCTGAGTTTCTTGCCGGATCTTCTCAGTACAAGGTCTCCCGCCGTAGTTTTGCGAACCGATGGCTTAGCTTTTCGACATTCACAAGTACTTGTAACAGCCTAGACTGAATAAAGGTTATTGATTTTTTTTATTTATTTATTATAGTTACTCACAGTAGCCGTCTGTGGTGCTGAGAATCCAGAAGCAGGTGTTGAGAATCCGAACCCGGCAGCAGTCGTAGCAGGCTTTCCGAATGCAAACCCACCACTGACCGGAGATCCGAATGCTGTTTGAGCTGTTAAATTATTGAATATAATTTAACAAATAAATAGTTTATTATCTATACATATAAAACTCAAAGGTGACTGACTGACATAGTGATCTATCAACGCACAGCCCAAACCACTGGACGGATCGGGCTGAAATTTGGCAAGCAGGTAGATGTTATGACGTAGGCATCCGCTAAGAAAGGATTTTGATCAATTCTACCCCGAAGCGAAGCGAGGGCGGGCCACTAGTAATATATATATTTAAGCATTTATCTGCTAGATGTTTAAATCTAAAGAAAGAATGGTTATTTAGTCTTTTTGTATGCAGTACTTTTAATATCTCGTATGCGTTGCACGATGCAGTTGTAAGCGGTCTATTTTGACGGACAAAAATCCTTTGTGCAGGCTTTAATATATATGTAGATTTTGTTCGGCCAAACCTTTTTTTATAACTTTTTAATATAAACATCCTGGCACCTTTTTGACGTGTTTTTAAATTTATATTTTTATACGTCAGTCTGTCTGTCTGTTTGACAACACTCCTCTCTATTACTTTCTTTTATACTTTGTGTGTATTTTTTATAACTCTCATATATTATTATATATCTTGTAGCTTATCCACTGTGTGTTTACTTCTCTCCAAAGTTATAATATATTTAAAATTCAAACAATTATTTAACAAAAATGGACAAAAGCGGACTTAACGCTTAAAGCAATATAATATAGACAAATGTATACCCTGTGTAGCAGGCGTCCCAAAAGCAGGGACTGCTTGAGGTTGGGCGCCACCAAACGACAAATTTTGTGGGGCATTCTGAAAATGAAAGAAAGTATTTATTATAATATTTAATGAGATTTTCTACTAGAAAATATTCCACGCGGATCAGGCAGCAGACGGGACTCGAACCCGCATCCTCTGCTATCGCGGCGGAGAATTAGGATTTTCCGTTGTAAATTTTCTCTAGTATTCCTTAGGCTGTGTAACGTGTTAAAAACGTCACATGGATCTCCTTCGCTCGAAGAGCGAGATAGAAGATTTTTTTTGGTTGTCTCTCTGGTCGTTTTTTATCTCGCGCCCATTTTCTTTAATCTGTGCACTTTTGGGTAAGTGTGTTTCTGCCTTTACCGAGCAGTAGGCTGAATGGACATTGTTCTCTTTGCCTACCGCCCAGACAAACTAAGAAAAGAACTGTCACTTCACTTCACGACGAAAACTTAGACACAAAAGATGGTCTAATGTTAATCTAAATTTTTATCATGATAATCCATTGGATTTTCAATTGTTTTTGATGACGTGATATTTCACACTGTTTGCGCGGAATGGAGCCGATCTTATTCCAAGCTTAATTTATTTTCAGCTAAAAGCGTTTTTTTTATATATTTGAAATTTTATTTGGAAATCGAATTCAAATCACGATGTTTCCCGTGAGGTGGAGGTGAACCCACGGGACCTAAAAACGGCCATCCCCTACATACTTGTGAAACCAAACATAATTTAACTACAAAGATGCAACAAAGTCAGTAATATTCAAATTTATAATTGTGTTTCGGCCCCCATATAAAAGGTAACATTTTCACTTACAGTCTTAGTTTAGTCTTAGTTTCAAAATTTAGCAGTAATTCTTTCGGTCCAGTAGTTTTGTAGTAAATTTAAATAAATTACAAACCCAAAATGAACATGGATTTGCGTTAAACTCCCTTGCTATTAATAGTCCAATGTTTTCCCGGCTGATATGGTTTAATAATATGGTATGGGTCTGGCGCCCGAGTATTCTTTTTTTTCATTAATTTCGACCTATCCATTTAGTAAATTTCTCTCAAACTTTTTATTTTTTAATATTACAATTGACGCCAGCGCACAGGGACTTGGTTTATGCAATCCATTTCATTTTGTACCTATAATAGTAGTCTTGTCTGGTTGTTTGTAATCTTTATTATTACATTTGTGTTATAATGTAGCTTTTGTACTTGAATTTTGATACATAAACATAGATTTTGTCTGTAATATTATTACAATTTAACTTAATGTTTTGGATGGTTCGTGTTAATATTAACTTTTCATTTAACTACTTGTTTTGAACTTTATTTCATATTTGAAATGTTCTATATACGTCTGTAGTGATGCATCACATGATATTTACTACTTTTGTATGTTAATTTAGTATTTTGCACATGCAAATTTCTTAGAATTTACTTAACTCGTAAACAATTATTTGGTTTCTACCAATTGATGCATATTGCATATAACTTAAACTTTTATTACCTTGTTAACTATGATCATTGTGTTATTGTTTTGTTATTTACATTTGAATATGCAAATTTACAAAGCTTTTTGCTATATATATATAAAAAAATTAGGACCTTTTGTTCGAACGTTTTGATAATTTTTAAAATGTTTAGTGAACATTATTTGAAATTTATACAAGTTTCTTAATGATAAATATAACTGTTCCACAACTTGTTTTGAGCTAGTATATACATTGTTTAAATAAAACATAAACAATAAAGTTTAACTTTTATAAATAATAACATAAACTTAAAATAATTTAACATTCTTTGAAAAAATATAACTAAATATTCTGAAATATTTTCATAACTTAATGAAGCATTGTTTATATAGTAATAATAATTAACTGAGTGATAATAATATTGTAAAATAACTTTTGATGTTGTTGTAACTTAGATATTTTGACATTTTGTCACAAACTTATTTCAGTTAAGGATAATATGTTTTTATATTAATAATTTTTAAATAATTCAATTCGGTTACATAACTTAACTTAAGATTTAAATTCGAGTCATTTGGGAATTCATAAAACTTTGCATAAAATAAAACTACATTACTTTTGGAAAGGTATGTTTAATGATGTTCATAAATATATTAATAATTGCGATATTTGTAAAGCTTATAAGCATTCGACTTCTAAACCACTTGGAACTATGATTAATCCCAAAAAAGTAGATAGACCTATGGTAATGTTAAGTATGGATTTAATTGGAATTTTACCCAAAACTTATTCTGGTCATAAATTTATATTATCTGTAGTAGATGTTTTTACAAAATATTGTTGGTTATTTCCTTTGGCTAATGCAACGACTAGATCAATGTGTAAGTTCTTAGAAAAAGATATCTTCCTTAAGTTCGGATGTCCAAAAATAGTTGTATGTGATAACGGTACTCAGTTCACTTCTAGGAATTTTGTAGATTTTCTTAAAGGTTTTAATATTGATAGAATATTTTATAATACTTTATATACGCCTCAGAATAATCCAGTGGAGCGTTATAATAAAACGGTTGAAACTTGCATTTCTTGCTTCGTTCGTGATGATCATAGAACTTGGTCGAAATTTCTTCCACATGTTCAGTTAGCTTTGAATAGTAGTGTTAATTTGGCTACGGAGTTCACTGCGAATTTCCTAATGTTTGGTAGGGAGTTAATTGTTGATGCGTCATTGCACCGTTTTAGTAATTCCTTTGATAATTTAACACAGATCGATCTTGTTGACCGTTCTGCTTTTGCTCATTCACTTTCTTCACTCGAAAGTATTTTTGTTAAAGTTACTGGAACTTTATTTAAAGCATATAAACGTAATGCTTCTTATTATAACAAGCGTCGTGAAGTCACTTCTTATGATGTAGGTGATATTGTTTGGAGGAGGAATTTTGTTCAATCTAGTGCTGCTCATTATTTTTCGGCAAAACTAGCTCCGAAGTTTATTAAATGTAAGATTATTGATAAAATTTCTAATAATGTTTATGTTTTGAAGGATTTCGTTAAAGGTACTTCTGGTCGTTACCATGTTAAAGACATTTTGAAAATTTAGATTGCTTAACTATTGTTTGGTTAGTTTTGTTAAACATAAACATATCTTTGTGTTTTGACTTTTGTAACTTGGGTAATTTTGGGGATTGTAAGTTGAATTTTTGCGTGAAGTATGTAAGATTTTCCCCTTGTAAGATGATGAAAGAAAGTGATATTACTCGAATACATTTGACTTTACTCATTGACTTTTTGGTTTTTATTAAATTCAAGTTTTGCCATTATATTATTTGACTTTGAAAATTTTTTGTAAAATTTAAATTTACGTAGTATGCCTACTTATTTTCTGCATCATAAGATTTTATAACCTTTTGTTTCATGCAGATGTTTTATCTGTATGGACACATTTTTTATTAGGATTTTATATGTCCTCATTTGTTATTTTTGTACAAACTTATTTGTTAGTACTATAGTTGTGTGGTGTTTCTGCATGTTTGTTGTTTTATAACAATTTGTTTTGTGTAGAAGTTTGTGTGTGTGCTAATTGTTACACCCGGATTTGACATTTTGGGATCCCTACTTTTTCCTTGGATTTGACATCCATGATTTAGACTTTTTTCGTTCAATATTTTTGACGATTTGTTTGGTTTACCACTTTGTGTTGGTAATTTGTTTGCCCATATTTGTGGACATCAATTATTTGTTTTTGCACATCATGTTCGGAAGTTCGGTGGTGTTGTGCCGATCATGAAGTTGCAATTTCGACTTTTTGTTCAACATTGTTGACGCTTTTTTGGTTTTGCCATATTGTTTTGGTATTTTGTATGCCCATATTTATGGACATCAATTGTTTGTTTTTGTGCTTCATGCTCGGGAGTTCGGTGGAGTTATGCCGATCATGTAGTTACTACTTTTGTTTTGGGTGCTTCATGTCCGGAAAGTCGTTGGTGTTGAGTCGGCCATGAATGTCACGTTTTGGTTTTCGCCAAATTTTTTTGCTGTTTTGACTTTCGTCACTACATTTTTTTGTCGAACTGTTTGTTCTCGACGCCTTTTGCACATCATGTTCGGAAAGCCGGTGGTGTTGTGCCGACCATGATCGTGACTTAAATGAGTTTGTGTCAATTTTGCCACTCATCTCGAACTTTTTGGGGATTTAACTAATAGTACTTGCGACTTTTTAGTATGGCAGTACTGGGGTGGGATTTTTCTAGAGTCTGCGACATAGTTGTCTAACAGATCTCCCAAGAATTGGTAGTAGGAGTAGATTGTAGTTTTCTGTCTGTGACCTAGTTGTCCAACAGACCTTCAGAAATTAATGTTAAGAGTAGTAGAGTAGTAATTTAAGAAATTTTAGGAGTCTGCGATTTTAATATCCAACAGATCTCACAGGGGTTTAGGTTTTGAAGGAGTTTTAGTTTAGGAAATTTTAGAGTCTGCGACTTAGATGTCCAACAGATCTCACCAGGGTTTAGTTAGAGTAGTTTGAATTTAGAGATTTTTTAGAGTCTGCGACTTTTTATGTCTGACAGATCTCAATAATGATGATGATAGTGGTTGAATTTTTTGTAGTAAGCTTTGCATACTTTTATTTTAGAGCATTTTGCTTTAGGTTTTTAATAATTTTGGGTCTGTGACTAATTCAGTTTAACAGCTTTTGTTTTGAGACTTGTGACCTTTTGTCCAAGGACTCTATAGTTAGATGATGTTTTGGTATTTGGATAACTTTATTTGAAGTTATTTTCTTTTCACTTTGGGTTTTCGTTTTCATCCATAATTCAACGGATTTCGTTTTGGCTTTTAGTATTTGGACTTTAGCTGTAGTTTTTTCAGCCTCGATTCTCGATGCTTTATTCGGGGAAGGGTGAAATGTAACGTGTTAAAAACGTCACATGGATCTCCTTCGCTCGAAGAGCGAGATAGAAGATTTTTTTTGGTTGTCTCTCTGGTCGTTTTTTATCTCGCGCCCATTTTCTTTAATCTGTGCACTTTTGGGTAAGTGTGTTTCTGCCTTTATCGAGCAGTAGGCTGAATGGACATTGTTCTCTTTGCCTACCGCCCAGACAAACTAAGAAAAGAACTGTCACTTCACTTCACGACGAAAACTTAGACACAAAAGATGGTCTAATGTTAATCTAAATTTTTATCATGATAATCCATTGGATTTTCAATTGTTTTTGATGACGTGATATTTCACACTGTTTGCGCGGAATGGAGCCGATCTTATTCCAAGCTTAATTTATTTTCAGCTAAAAGCGTTTTTTTTATATATTTGAAATTTTATTTGGAAATCGAATTCAAATCACGATGTTTCCCGTGAGGTGGAGGTGAACCCACGGGACCTAAAAACGGCCATCCCCTACATACTTGTGAAACCAAACATAATTTAACTACAAAGATGCAACAAAGTCAGTAATATTCAAATTTATAATTGTGTTTCGGCCCCCATATAAAAGGTAACATTTTCACTTACAGTCTTAGTTTAGTCTTAGTTTCAAAATTTAGCAGTAATTCTTTCGGTCCAGTAGTTTTGTAGTAAATTTAAATAAATTACAAACCCAAAATGAACATGGATTTGCGTTAAACTCCCTTGCTATTAATAGTCCAATGTTTTCCCGGCTGATATGGTTTAATAATATGGTATGGGTCTGGCGCCCGAGTATTCTTTTTTTTCATTAATTTCGACCTATCCATTTAGTAAATTTCTCTCAAACTTTTTATTTTTTAATATTACAGCTGCAAGGTAGCGCCATCTCTTCGCATTCGTTTGTAACTCACAATGTCAAACGAATACCTTAAGTATTGAACATTCGAAACAATTTTCTAATAAAAAGTTTCTCTAGATTTAAACATCTAACAGTGAAATGCTTAAAAATGAAATGTTTAACTTACTTGTTGTGCAGCTTGTCCGAAAGCTGGACTTCCAACAGTCTGGTTTGGTGGAGAGGTAAAACCGAAACTCAAAGGTTTGCTCGCACCGAAAGCTGAGGTGGCTGTTGTCGCTGGATTTGCAACTGTAAAAGGATAACAATGATGTTGAGTAAAAAGTTATTTTATTTTATGTAAATTTAGGCATATTACAATGATGTTATTTGGTCAGATTTAAGTTTATAAAACCAGTGCCTACAGTGCATCTCTTGGGCCGAGAAGTTACTATGTTAGGTTGCTAATAATGTGGTAAACAGACTAATAACATAACATAAGTATAGAAATTTGTGTTCTACTTTGCCAAGTAAAGATCGACAAGTAATATAATGGCACAATAGTATCAAGGCTATGGGTAATTGTTACTATTATTCTGGTTATGTTACATCAGCAAGAAAAGCTTAAGACGGGAGGGAGGAGGGTAATGCTTTTTCCATACAAACGTTCTCGATTGATTTTTATCACTAAAGAACTGATTTTCATACATAAAATACAATTTTACTCAATCTATGTATTCTTTTTTTCATAACTTGTGTTTCAAAGAATCTAGAAGTCTTCAAAAATGACAAAAAATAACAAAATTTTATCATCACTAAGACATCTTCTGAGGAGATTCAATAATGTTTACAAAAAAACCAAAAACTAGAGGCCTCGTATAACTACTTTAATTTTATATATCTGATTTTCGTGGAGGAAATCGTCGAGAGCCATACCTCTAATTTTGCAATTTTTATATGCAATTTTCAGCTATAACTACTGTTCCTATCGCACGGTATTTTCCAATGCGTGAAAGCAATAGTTTTTACAAATACCTATGTCTATAATGTCTCTCAGTTTTCGTCGAGTCTTAATAAGCTTATTTATTTTTATTTAAGACAAAGTATAGAGTAAATTCATAGAAATAAAAGCAAATTTAACATAATGAGGAAATCATAATGTAATAGGTACTAGCCAATCACTATTAGAATAAAATTAACAAAATATCAACATAAAACAGGAACATACTCCTTTTCTTTGGTGTCATATACTGCCCTTTCATTGTTGAAACTTTCACAAAAATAAATAAAATTGATTAAAATTACAATTAATTAACACATCAATTGTAGAATAAAATTATAAGTAATAATATCACGTGCATTTATACCAACTTCAAAAAATAGTTTACTGAAGGTAGTGAAACACATTTGTATAACTAAAATGTCAGTGTAAAATTCAATACCCACATGCTGTAACATCAATCTGTTTAAATTCTAAGCACTATTGTTTCAACATACAACACAATAACCTGTATTCGCAATAAAAATTATTTGAATTTGAATTTAAAATTTGAATTTAATTTAAACATTTATTATATTTCAAGAAGTTGGTACACAAGATCCTTGTTTCACAATATATCAATATTTTAACTGGATTCATTGGAGGTATTAATATTTACTGACACTGATATGTTTACTGTATTTTTTTTTCTAAAGAAATAACCTAATAATAATTTCGAAAGTGCAAGCTCTTAGGCTGCTTTGTTTAATCGACAGTTAAATTTGTCAAATAAATAGTAAATTGTGTAATATTTTGACAAATGGTTATTTTTTCTATAGTCTATTTTAACTATTGACAAATTTTATTATAGATGAAACAATGTGGCCATAGGAAAAGAATTGAGATTTATTTTACTTTGCTTATGTCATGTTATTTCTAGTCTCAACTAATATTTTGTTTATTTAAACCAGATTTAGGCAGAAAGGGCACTAGCAATCTAAAATACAGCTACAATCATCAACAAATTATATCATATTATATGTTTTCCTACGTAGATAGCTAGCTTTTGAAACTTACACATGTTATTTGATGCAGTTGTAGTTGTTTTAGCTCCAAATGCAAAGCTTCCAAAAGCTGGAGCGTTAGTTGTAGGACTAGTGAAATTGAAAGCAGGTTTGGTCTCTAGAAATTTTTAAGAAAATGCAATTAAGTATTCAATATATAAGAAATGTAAATATATCTGGGATTATTTTAAGCTTGCTTGCAGTATTACATTGTCGTCGTAGTGGAAGAATTAAATAAGTAACAAAACCCAACTTAGAAGATTTTTGATGTTAATTTTATTTAAATAATGTACATTCCCAGGTTTAATACAAATTAAACATTATAAGTATGTTGTACAACATATGAAAAGATCTACTGTATATTTTGTTAACAATAAAGTCATTTTTCTACTGTATAAAGATCTACGAATAGATCTACTGTATATTTTGTTAACAATAAAGTCATTTTTAATAAAAAAATGAGAAAATCAGTTTTGTTAGTTATATAGGTAGTTCTTCCACTATGACAAAGATATGCATATTGAATCAATCAGCTTATCAGTTTAATTCTTTTTAACCAACAAAACATTTAAAATGCTATACATATTTATCTAAATATATTAGAGGTACTTCAGTACTGGTTTGCAAATTATTAAGATAATAATTTTCACAAATAATTATCCAGCAATGGCTAAATAATTTATACATAAAAATGAAAACATGTTTGTATTTCTAGGTACTATTTTCATTTAACTATGATAAAATCAAATTTAAAATAGAATAGGCATTGAAAATGTATGGCATCAATGATTTTGTCCTTACAATACTATTATTCTTATTGCCTTTTAGAATTTATTTCCATCTTCTTCTTGGCTGATAAGATCAATAGGATAACATCCTCATCATCTGAGTTAGAAAACATTTATATTTTGGTGTTTATGCCTGGTTCTATCAGTTATACACTATTATCAATGATAATTATTAATAAGTAATTATCTGGATAATTATAACCGTGCTTTAGTACAGCTTAAATCTAATAATATTGTCAACTCGAGCAATATTTATATTAATTTCAAAGTTGTAGAAATAACCGATACCTGGTACAGTTGAACCAAACAATGGTTTTGATGCATCACCGCTCCCAAAGGCAAACCCTGCAATAAAAGAGCATCTTTTCTTTTCAAGGGCTTAGAAAAATGTTTAGACCAATAATATTTTATAATGTTTAGGCGCACAGTAAAAATAAGATGATGCCAGTAAAATGAAGTATGAATTTAAAGTAGGGAATTCTTTACAAAAATATTATGAATTGCCATTACTCAATTGTGAATTTGAGGTTATGTTGTGAATTTCAAAATAATTTAAAGTAATGATACGAGCATCTAAGTATATATTGTATGCATCATAACACCATAAAACTATTTCAAAATGTAGGCAAAACATTGTAATTACCTGTAGAAGGAGTAGTAGTACCGAATGTACTGCCTGATGTTGTAGTTGCGCTACCAAAGGTAAAACTCATATTGTTCTTTCTATTATACTGACATAGGTATGTAAATTTAACAAGCAAAAGAATGCTTAATGATTTGTTGCGGTATTAAGTTTAAATTTAATTAATAAACGAAACAAATCCGTATGACAACAAAATTCAACGAATAAAATTGTCAACAACAAATATCACCGGGCGCGGGATCGGTAGGGACACGAAAAAAGTATCGATACTTTGTGGTATCGAGTACTTTTCCTTTCGATACCGATACTTTTGTACTCGATACTTTGTATTCGATACTTTTACTAAATGAGTACTTTTTGGCAAGTATCGATACCTTTAAAAATTTGGATAAGCGTCTCATATTGATCGCAATGCCATCTTGTTAAATCATAGCAAACCTTCTGAAACGTTCCATAGGGTATTTGACAAGTTTTAGGCAACGATCTCACGTTATTGACTAATGTTTATGGAGTCCGTAAAAAGTGGATATTCATCATTCTGTTGTGTATTTCAGTAAAAATAACCAAATCAAAAACTCCATTTTCAAGTTGCCGCGAAAATGTTACTCTGGACAATATGGCGTTTTACTAGTGTGTGACGTCACACGACTGTTATTAAAACGTCAAACGATACAATGTAATGTCACTTTGACCGAAAGTTTACTTGCGTGTGACGTCATTTTAGGCTCCGCCAATCCCAAGCGTTTTGGGTTACGTGACAATAGATAAGAAAACTTATATCTTTTTCGTTATTTTGGCACTTTATTTTTAATACTGTCAAATGCCCTATTGCGTTGTTATAAAGTCAGTAACTGACATATTCAAATTCTTTCCAATCTGTGACTGTGTTTATTTTGCGCTTTGTATTGTTTCATAGTTATTTATTTAGCGACATATTCTTAGGAACTGTGATTGATTCGCCGTTTATTGTGTTTTTAGCTTGACTGTATTTGATTTATTTAAGTGTAACACTATTATTCTGTCTGTGCTGTGTATACCTATTTGAAACCACCACAAAAAAAGACGGACGTAACCTCTTCTATAATTATAATCTTGAGTGAAGCATGCCAATGGCAGCCGTTAACTACGTGCCAGATTCAAGTTAACATAAGTGGGTATAATTTTTTTTAATGATTAAAATTCAAGAAAAGTAAATTTAATTTGAAACAAATCTGAAAAGTTTCATACTTTTAAATTGTTTAAAATTTCGATCTTTTGAATTAACATTTTAATTATGATTGTAATATTAATGAACACTTCTTTAGTGTCAGAAATCACAGCTATTTTCTTTTCATTATATAATATAGCAATTTGTGAATTTACATGTCCTTTTTTTGTTTTTGATTATACTTATTATAATAAAATTCGATTGTTTTTCTTTCAATTTTAACACCGGGGGGGGGGGGGGGGGGGTTGCTCATCAGGCTACAGAGGGTCCGATAAGGCCCTATGAAATGTACTCGATACTTTGAAGTATCGATACTTTTGTTTCGATACTTTTACGAGTACGATACTTTTTTACCGATACTACTCATGAGTACAGTATCGATACTTTCTATTCGATATCGTGTCCCTAGGGATCGGCGGGGGCAGGGCACAGCACAGATTAGCACTGAAACAGGTATTACACTACACAATTTCAAACGTCATTTACACTACCCAAATTTAAGGGACCCTTACCCTGACTAAGAGTGGTGTTATATGAGTTAGGGAGTAAGGGACCCGATCTAGGACGAACGGCGAGGTGTAATAATTGCTTACCCTAGTTATGCCCACACTTTCGATTCATCATCATCATCAACCCAAGCTCGTCCACTGCTGGACATAGGTCTCCCCTAATGCACGCCACTGCTCCCGATTTTCTGCCTCTCTTATCCAGCCCACTCCAGCCAGCCTACGAATGTCATCATCCCATCTTGTCTCACGGCGTACCACACTACGTTTACCGAGTCGTGGTTTCCACTCAAGAAATTACGCCTTTTAAGTAGGGTAGTGTAATGTAAATCCCGTTTTATTACACAGCCCTGTCAATCGGACCCTAACTCAGTCTGAAAGTAAAAGCTAAGAGTAGTTTTAAATAGTAAAAGTTGTCTCGGTTGAATGTCGTTATGGCACCAGATTCAATCTGATCAAATTTTTATAAATTTTTCTCAATCCTTTGGCACTTAACTCTTTATTTAAAAAGAAATATGTAAATGATCATATTTTTTTTAAAATTGTCGTTATTATTTAAATTGTTTTTGATTTCTTTTTTGCCACAAAAATTAAAGATCCCAATTTAAATATTAATATGTAAATTTAATTAAATAAATCATGACTAGTAACACTTCTCTTTCATTATTAGATGCCATCGCGCCAATAAACTAGTTCATGTACAAAAACGTCCGTACGATACGCTCTCAGAGCGTTGACTATAATAATGTACTCTGTGGCGTTGACTGAGCTCCCTTACTGCTTAACCAGTGTTGCCAGATTCGATCAAAAAAAATCGAGAGGGCTTACTGGAAAAAAAATAGTAGATGTATGGAAAGAGCTGCAAGAAAAAACCGTAGAAGCAGGGGCGTATTTTTTTTGGAAATAGAATTGGTAAATCAAGATGACTTCTTCCGCCCCTCAAAACTGTTTTTTTTTACAAAAGCATATTTATTGTTCTATATATAAGGTAACTAACATTCTTAATACCAGAACCCGAAAAGCACAGCACAGGTGACTCGAGGGAGGGACGCATTTTACGTAACGTTTCTCACAGTTTAAAAAAGAAAATCGGATTCTTAGAAATACAGTAGATTCATGTAGAGAAACAAAAGAACAGGAGACATTTTCGAAAAACAGGAGGTCTCCTGTAAATTCGGGAGACCTAGCTAGCAGCCCTTTGCCTAACAGCTATTTCACTACCCGATCGTCAGGGAAAAAGAGAGATCGGTTTGCCTCGATCTTTCTAGATCGGGTCGCTTACTTCCTAACTCATATTACACCACCCTTAGTCAGGGTAAGAATCCCTTAAAATTGAGTAGTCTAATAGGCGCAAGCTAGATTATTGCTCAGTGCACAGATACGTACGTTTTGAACCTATGCTTAAAGTTTACTTGCCATAGAAAAAAAGTACATGTTACTTGCTCAGTGCTACGCTCCTCCAGATGCAATAAAGCTATATTTTGTCATAAGCTTCATACATTTTATGTCAAAATTGAAACGTCATCAGGGTATATGCTCTAAGCGTCAAGGTAAAAAGTTGCACTCGGGGCGTAGATTTGGAACGAAGCCCTGAGATTATAGACCGATGGCCCTGGCCTGGCCTGAAGCCCAAGTCCCGGGGAACTGTTTTTGATATGTAACATCTTTCCTCTCGCTTTCCTGCAATTTGTGGGAGTGATTTCGTATAATGAGACGGAAGTATGTAACATGAAGTCACGAAAGCGCGTGCTATTTGATTTGATTTTAGAACATAATCTTCAAATCGCTTATTCCTTTTGTAGTAGGTTTTATTTCTTTTTTTCTTATATAAGGTCAGGTTACGCATCATACGCGACTACTGTAAGGGTCGCTCGTTTTTTTTTATTTTTCGTTCGAAGATGAATTGGTAATCCTAGCGGAGTTAGCGTCGGATTTAGCCCTTGATCAGGAATAACCAGGGTGGAGCAAAATTTGTCTAGCACCCTTTGGCTTTGGTTGGCACTACTATTTTTTTTATACCCTACATTTACATCCCGTACCTATTTGACATGTTTGATTTTGATTTTTACCACCTTATTATATTTTGTAATGCATCAAATTATTTAATCGTCATTCGTTGTTATTACTTGTACCATCAATGGTATTGCCTTATTATACAGGTGGTCAGAAGGGATTGCCATTGCTTCTCGAAAATAATTACGTAAACTTACCGCTGTTAATATATTGAAAATACGTGTTGCTAGTCCTAATAAATTCGGCTTGAAACTGTGTGAGGATACCTGTAAATGTAAGGTAATAGATATGACGCTTTGTTCCGAGTCGACTCTGCGTAAGCGCATCGGCTACATAATTTGTGGTTTTAGTCATTAATTGTAGGTGTCCGACATAGCTTATATTCGGTCAACAAGTAGGTACTAATTTATGAAACATGCTCCCGTTTCAGAATTAGAGTACATTCTTTGAATTCGGATTAACAAAAAAAGCTAGCAAGGTGCCCTAGCTTTAATTGTCTTCAAATCGCGAAAGGCAATGACGTGGAAGCACGTATCTTACAGCGTTATCTGTAACTCCTATGATCCCAACGCTCACATTTACCAAGTGAGGAAACCCTATAGCAGTAAAAGCAGTATGAATCGGTTTAAACAGCCCAAATCTAGCTCTGGCAGTGCGCCAGCCCGGGGCGATTGCAGCAAATCATCCGCCGCCTATTCTATGTAAACGACGTGTAAACAAGCCAGATTGTAAAGAATGATGCGCAACGGATTCATACGATTGGACTGTAGGCTAAATTGAAGGTTTTATAGGTACTGGGGTGTCCCTGATTGCGTATGGAATAGTAAAGTATGTGTGGACACTGGTTTTTTAGTTTGTTTTCAGCTGGTTATATCATGGTGTGCAAAATAGGTATATTAATGTTTCTTCCTTCATTACACCTTCCCCTTTTCTTAAATAGGATCACATCTGTAGTTCTACACCGCCACTGGCTTAAGTACTGTAAATACGATTCCGACTCGGAGCAAGAAATTTGGTGACTCATTTCTTTGTCGTACTATTTGCTAGTGTAATGGTTTACCCGCGCACGTGTTCTCAGCTTCCAAAGAGACCAGGAGTCCGCTCCGGAGTCCTTCAAAAGAGACCAGGGCCGTCTTTAACCTATTGGAAGCCCTGGGCATACTAGGATAATGGGGCCCCTATGACTTTGATGTGGATTATGACTTGAAATGGAGCAAGTCATACTGATGAGTGACTACTGATGATTTATCTTTAAAATTTGTGTGTGCTTAGTATACCATTTTAAGTAACTATATTTAAATTTATCTAAGCATGCTGAAGTCGGAAAGCCTAATTTTTGGGCGA